AGAAAATTGTAATGTTTCTTAAATGGATGGAGCAATTTTTCTTTCAGGAATAAATATATTTAGCTTTTGAGCTGTATGAATAGCCATTGAATCAATATTTATTGGGGATATTTTAATTGCAAAGCCCTGTGCTAGGCTCTGATACACAGCGGTGAACAAAACAGACCAGAGCCTTCTTTCTCCTCACAGACAATAAACAAACAAACAAACAAATACACAGTTACTCATTCTGATGATCGCCAGCAAGAAACAAACAGGAAGCTCGTATAGAGATGACTTTCCTGAGATAGGTGGTCAAAGAAGCTCTTTCTGAGACTATAATATTTAAGAAGAGACCTAAAGAATGAGAAGCCAGCCACATCAAGTGGATGCTTTAAAAGCTGTCATTTCTGGAGAAAAGTCTCCAAAGTATGAATTTATTATGCAGTTTCCAAATAAACCTGAGGAGGTCAAGAGAAAATGTTTTCAGATTACAGTTTGGTTGGAGCAAGTATCCAGCTCTAAACCTTGGGGTATAGTTTCACCACTGAAAAATTGCTGTGGCTTTCCCATTCAAAAGGGATTTGCTATTCAAGGATAACAGTAGGTGAGGAACAACAAATTGTGGCAGAACAATTATTCCTGAAAGATTTTCTTTTCTATGAATTGTCTTTTGCTCATGCTGTATTAGACCAAAAAAAAAAAAAAAACCCACTGCCATTGAGTCCATTCTGACTCATCATGATCTTATTGGACAGAATACATCTGCCCCATAGGGTTCCCAAGGCTGTAAATCTTTACAGAATCTGACATGCCATATCTTTCTGTCCGTAGATTTGCTGCTGGGTTCAAACTGCTGACTTTTTGGTTAGCAGCCAAATGCATTAACCACTTGGTTATCACTGAAATCCAGCTAACTAAACTAATGATCTTATGATTTTATAGGCACTTTTATTTAATAGGCACTTTTACTAAACAAACATAGCTAAATTTTGTTTATCTACGAGGTTAAATAAAGAGGTCTGGTGGCATAGTGGTTAAAGGTTGGCAGTTTGAACCCAACAGACGCTTTGCAAGAGAAAGATGAGGCAGTCTGCTTTTGGTAAAGATTTACAGCCTTGCAAACAGTTCTACTCTGTCCTGTAGGGTCACCATGAGATGGAATCCACTTGATGGTAGTGGGTAATGGGAGGAATACCTAAAATACCTAAGGAATTTAAGTGGTGAAAGGGGATTTTTAGTAGTGATGATCCATTAAGAAGTCAGTTTATTATAAGTAAGGAACTCATTACTGTGGTGAGTATGTGGGGTATATACGTGACCCTTAAAAGAAGCTCAATCCAGACAATGTAGTTCCAATTATAATAGAAAGAATGAGAGGAATCTGTCAAATATTCTTACATATTGTTAAAAATTACATACACACACACATAGGTAAAATACATATATATATATATATTTACATAATATTGTATATGTATGTATGTGCTTTTATACATACATATGGGTATATATGAACCTTTTTCAAGTATACATATGTACATGTATGTATATTTGGACACATGTATATTTGAACACATGTGTATGTGAACACAGGTCATTGACTACTGAGCTACTGAGCAGGAGCTATTTCATATACAGACTGAAGCAGAAATCTGAAAAGGAGATACAGAGCAAGAACAAGCAGATGATATTGACAGATTTTTTCCAAAGTGTGATTATGCTATTCAGTCCAAAATTTTATGCAGATGTTTCAACAAGTTTTGATAATAACTGGTCATGTTCTAGCCCATCTGCAGAACAATGAGAATTTCTTGGTAAATAAAAATTTTACGTATTTTGATGATTGAATTGTTTTCACTTTTTCAAGAAATAAGTGACCTATAAAATTTCTATAAAAATCTGATTTTTATTTCAAGAACCAATAAAAGACAAAAATATGGTCATTGTGCTTAAATTATTAAATACTTAGAATTCTTGTAACATTATTTTCAGATCATCCAAGGTATTTTTGACCAACACCAAGACTTTCATTCAATAGGCATGGTATGTTAATATTCAATAAAAGTTTTCTTCTCATTGGAAGGAAGGTTGGGCAATCTACTTCCACAGAGATACCACCTCAGAAACCCAAGGAGAGATCGCTATGAGTCGAACCAACTCGAAGGCAGTGAGTTTAGTTTGGTTTGATAACTTTTACAGAGACCCTGGTGTAATGCAGAGTTGCCGAGACACCAGGACACGGAGTTGTTTCAGAGAAGTAGTTTATTGGCTCTCCCGGGAGAGGTTCTCGTGCCCTAGCATCAGGGCCAGAGAAGTCGCACCCCTGGGCAGGGGGGATAGATTCTTATAGACGGAGAGGACTTAATTGGGGACACTAAGGAAATGGCAGGGTCCAATTAGCTGTTGGCACGGGTCTGCACTTAATTAGCATGGGGTGCTTCACAGGAGGAAGTTTGTCATCACGTGGGACTTTCCAGCCTGGGCAGGTTTTGTCACCTCGGTTGTCTTATCAGGCTGTCTCATCAGGGCCTGACACCCGGAGGAAGCTGCTAACTGAAATGGTGGTTTGAGTTTGCTCCGGCCTAACACTTGGGTGTTGCAAATGTTTAAGTGATCAGATGCTAACCTCAGTTTGGAGGGTAGAGTCTGCGCAAAGGTGGCTTGGAAGTAAGGCCTGGTGACCTACTTCCAAAAACATCAACAACTGAAAATTTTATGTAGCATAGTTCTACTCTGACACATGGAGTCACCATGAGTTGGAATGGACTTGAAGGCAACTGTTTGTTTGTTCAAATATGCTACATAATTTTTTTTTTTAGTTAGCAAAACCATACAAGTACATAGATTAAACAGCCCGTAGGAAAACACTAGTTTTTTGCCCATTCTCTTCCTACTGTCTGTTCTCTAGAGGCAATTACATTGGCAATGGCCTCCCTATACGTTTTTAAAACATGTCAATACTGCTGCTTCTTGAATTTTCAGTAGGCAAAATCTACGGATTTTTTCACTATGAGTGAGGATGATATAAAACCAAAAAACCAAACTCACTGCCATTGAGTCAATTCTGACTCACAGAGATACCCATTGGGTTTCCAAGGCTGTAAATCTTTACAGAAGCAGACTGCCTTATCCTTCTTCCACAGAATGGCTGGTGGGTTTAAATCGCTTACCTTCTGGTTAGCAGCCAAACGCTTTAACCACTACATCACCAGAGCTAATTGAGGGTGATAGGTTACTTTAAGTCTCTTCAGAACATTTAAACACGTCAGGAATCCCATCAATTACACCTTTTGCAGACTCTCTGAGTCTTCTGACGTGCTCCAATTTGAGCTGACTGTTTTCTACATTTGGTACACAGCTGCCATCATAGACCCTCCACTCACAGTCATTCATGGGACTCCCTTTGACTCTCCTAAATTTGATTCCCTTTGTTCTGGATCCCAAGTCTTCCTTAGCTTATTACCAAGTTCAGGTAGTTTCCTGAGAAACCATGCAAGTATATCTGAAAATGTCTTTACCCATAAATTTAATTGATACTTTGACCTTGAATAGAATGAATTTTGGGGTGAACATCACTTTACTTCAGAACCTTGAAGGCTTTTCTTCATTTTCTTCTTTGCATACCTGCTGATAATTCACAAATTTATATCTCTAGTCTAGACCTTGCCTCTGAGATCTATACCTGTGAACCTTATATGTCCCAATGGCTTATTTGACAGTCTTTAGCTTAGAATCAATATGTCTCAAAGCGATCCTATGACCCTACTCTCTCAAACTAGGTCCTCTTTTAGCATCCTCGGTAGTCAGGAGCTCTGGTGGCACAGTGCCTAAGGCATTTGACTGCTAACCAGAAGGTTGGTGTTTCAAACCCACCAGCTACTCTGCAGAAGGAAGATGAGACAATCTACTTTAAAGATTTACCACCTTGAAAACCCAATGGGGGTTGCTATGAGTCAGAATTGACTCAATGGCAGTGGGTTTATCTTGGTAGTGTCACTACCCAGGTATACAAGCTGAAAATTAGGATTTATGACACTGCCTTCTCTCATTCTCCATATCCAATCCTTCTCTAAGTTCTAGCAATATGCTCTTAAATATCTGTGCAATTTGTTTACTTTTCTTCATGTTGTTGTTGTTGTTATGTCCCGTCGAGTCAAACCCGACTCATAGCGACCCCTCCTTGGGTTTCCGAGGCAGTATCACTACGGAAGTAGGATTGCCCAACCTTCCTTCCGAGGAGTGGCATCTGCCAATACCTCCACGTCATCACCATCTCTCACTTGCACTAGGGCACTACCCTCCTTACTGATCTTCCTGACTCTATCCTCCCATCTTCTCTACCCCAATATCAAGCTAATTTTTGTATGGTCTTTAAAAACAAAACACAACTTCATGTGTTTTCATACCTCTGCTTAAAACTGTCACTGGCTTATTTGCATTTAGGATAAGGGCTGAAACCTTTAGCTTTGCCAACAATATCGTGAAAGGTGTGGCCCCTCCCTACCATGCCAGCTTCATCTCACATCGTGACACCTTCAGGCTCTCTGCACTTCAGCCTCATTGACCATCTTCATTTCCTTGAATGCCCAAGACCCTCTTGAAATGGAACTTTTGTACCTGCTCTCTCCTCTGTCTATTTCTGCTTTGTCCAATAGAACTACTTCCTTTACCTCTACGTGCTCAGGTGCTGTCTCCTCCAGTGTGAAATAGGTGCTCCATCATGTTTTTCTCTGCCATGATATATTGTAATTACTTATTTATATACTTGTCTCCTCACTAGACTTAGAGCGAAGAAAATTTATCTTTGTATGCTTGGGACAAAACACGGTTTCTGACACATAGCAAGTAGATTGTAATTAATTTCAAATGACTAAAATAGCTCATTTAATAGCAAGAAAAAAATGATCAGTTATAAAAGATATTAATGCTTTTATGATAAATTAGGCATTGGATATATTTTAAGAAAAATATTTTTCAAAGAAGAGATTTTATAGAAAGGAACATCAACATTTCCTTACTTTCTTTGTTTTGCCCATTGCCTTCAGGATAGAAAGGTTTAGGTCTTCAAGTGCTGCTAGTACATTCTCATATTCCCCCAAATGCTGAGAAAAATATTCTGAAAAGTAAAAATATTGAAATAAATACATGTTTGAATTTAAGGAATCATAAAACAAACAAAAAAATCAATTGATGATTTATTCCATCATGAGTAAAACAAATAGTCAAGTATAAATGGCAACTGAAAGCTTTTCAAATAAGACTCACTGAAGTGCCGATACACTCATCTCATTAAATAAAAGAAACCAGGATTGCTACTATTATCTTGAAGAAATATTCTTTCCTACAAATAGGAAAAAAAAGAACCTGGACTTAGCAGAAAGACTGTTTCAAAAAAATAAATTGTTCTCAACAGCTTGTTCTAGATGTCACAAAGGTAGTAATTTCAGGGGAGACATTTTGGGAAGGTAAGCTCTCTTTGAGGCAAAGAGTCAATGATGGTGCAAAAAGCCAGAGGGATGTCTCCTGTGGCTCTTTCTATGCAACTGTCCTCGTCATTATCCAATTATTTTCAGCAGTGTCGGTGGAGAAAAAGACATTCGTTACATTTTTCAGCTGTTAAGAATAAATAATACATTGGCTGTCACCACTAAAATTTTAAAAGATGGAAACACAGACTCATTCCAAATGAGTAAGTTGAAATATAATAGAGATAAATGCAAAAACTTATATTTCCTTACAAATGTCAATTGTATATTTCTACATGAGAAAAATCTGGCATGAGAGAAATCTATCCATTGAAAAGATCTCTACAGCTTTCAGTTACTAGAAAATCCATAGCCTTCCCTATTACTGAGAATTTGCCAAGAGATGAAATGGATTTTGTTAATGCTTCTCTTTAATGTGTCATACCTATTTGTGGAATTAAATTGGAATGGTAAATATAATCATATATCACCAACTACTGTCAATTCCAACTCATAGTGACCCTATAGGACAGAATAGGACTGCCTTATAGGGTTTCCAAGGCTGTAAATCTTTACAGGAACAGACTGCCACATCTTTGTCCCACAGATCTGCTGGTGAGTTTGAACTGCCGATCTTTCAGTTAGCAGCTGAGTGCTTTCACCACTATGCTACCACAGACCCTCTTAATCACATATAAGTCACTTAAAATCACTGGGAAACTGCCTTGATTAATTTATATAAGCCTCCAGATGGAATTATTTGTTGACATTGATTTTAATAACAAATAGAAAGTGCCACGGTCTGATTCACTAGTTAATATAAACCTTCTTTTAGAGAAGAAAGAAAACAAAGGTGAGCAATAAATCAATTACAGACTTCTTGTTGCTAGGTGCTGTTGAGTCAGATTCAACAGCAACCCTATGTACAGAATGAAACACTGCCCGGTCCTGCATCGGTCCCACATTCCTGAGCCCATCGTTGCAGCCACTGTATCAATCCATCTCATCAAGCGTTTCTCCTTTTTCACTGATGCTCCAATTTACCAAGCATGACATCCTTCCCGAGGGAATCGTCCCTTCTCATAACATAAGCATAGTAGGTGAGATGAAGTCTGGACATTTTTGTTTCCTAGAAGTTTTTCAGCTGCACTTCTTCCAGGACAGACTTGCTAGTTCTTCTGCAATACTTTGGATATTCTTTGCCAACACCACAACTCAAAAGGATCAACTCTTCTTCAACCTTCCTTATTCATAGTCCAGCTTTCACATGCATATGAGGCTACTAAAAATACCATGGCTTGGGTTACTGTTCTGGTTACCTAGTACTGCTCTGACAAGAATACACCACAATGAGATGGCTTGAACAAACAGGAGTTTATTCTCTCACATTCTGGAGACTATAAGTCCAAGTTCAAAGTGCCAAGCTCTAGGAACTGGAAGAAAGCCCCTCAACCTTGAGCTTCAGCTCTGCCTCCTGCTCCCGGCCCACTGGAGCTGGAGGCTTTTCTTCACTCAGTTGCTGCCTGCTGAGGCTGACAAGCCCGAGGTTGACAAGTAAAAAGCACAGTCCCTATGTTACCAAAGCCTTTAGGCTCTGTTAGGCGCACCTTAGTCTTCAAAGAGACACCTTTGCTCTTAAGCACTTTAAAAAGATCTTTCGCAGCAGATTTACTCACTGCAATGACGTCTGATGTCTTGACTGCTGCTTCCACGGGTGTTGATTGTGACTACAAGTAATATGAAATCTTTGACAACTTCAATCTTTTCTCCATTTATCATGATATTGCTTCTTGGTCTAGTTGTAAGGATTTTTGTTTTCTTCATATTGAGATGTAATCCACACTGAAGATTGTAGTCTTTAATCTTCACCAGTAAGTGCTTCAAGTCACCTTCACTTTCAGCAAGCAAAGTTGTATAGTCTGCATATTGCAGGTTGTTAATGAGTCTTCCTCCAATCCTGATGCCATGTTCTTCATATAGTCCAGCTTCTCGGATTATTTGCTCATCATAGATTGAGTAAGTGTGGTGAAAGGATTCAACCTTGATGTACTCCCTTCCTGATTTTAAACCAGGCAGTATCCCCTTGTTCTGTTTGAATGATAGCCTCCTAATCTATGTGCAGGTTCTTCATGAGCACAATTAAGTGGTCTGGAATTCCAATTATTCTCAATGTTATCCATAATTTGTTGTGATTCACACAGTCAAATACTTTTGCATAGTCAATAAAACACAAGTAAACATCTTCCTGGTATTCTTTGTTTTCAGCCAAGATCCATCTGACAGCAGCAATGATATCCCTCACTCCAGGTCCTCTTCTGAATCCAACTTGCGTTTCTGGAAGTTCTCTGTGAAAATACTCCTGCACTCATTTTTTAATTATTTTTGGCAAAATTTTACCTGTGTGTGATATTAATAGTATTGTTTGATAATTTCCACATTCTGTTGGATCACCTTTCTTTGGAATGGGTACAAATATGGATCTCTTCCAGTCAGTTAGCCAGGAAGCTGTCTTCCAAATTTCTTTGCATAGACGAGTAATGTTTCCAGTACAGCATCTGTTTGTTGAAACATCTCAGTGGGCATTCTGTCAATTTCTGGAGCCTTATTTTTCACCAATTCCTTCACTGCAGCTTCAACATCTTCTTTCAGTACCACTGGTTTTTGATCATATGCCACTTCCTGAAATATGTGAACATTGTCCAATTATTTTTGGTACAGTGACTCTGTGTGTTCCTTCCATCCTCTTTTGATGTTTCCTATATCACTGAATATTTTGCCCAGAGAACCTTTTAATATTGCAGCTTCAGTCTTGAATTTTTTTTTTTCAGTTCTTTCAGCTTGAGAAATGCTGAGTTTGTTCTTCCCTTTTGGTTTTCTAACTCCAAGTCTTCACACTTCATTATAATAATTGACTTTGTTTTCTCAAGCTACTTTTTGAAATCTGTTTGGTTCTTTTATCTTGTCAATTCTTCCATCTGCTTTAGCTACTCTCTGTTCAAGAGCAAGTTTCAGAGTCTTCTGACATCCATTTTGGTCTTTTCTTCCTTTCCTTTTTTTTTTTAATGACCCTTTCTTTTCATCATGTATGATGTTCTTGATGTCATCCTCCAATTCATCTGGTTTTCAGTCATTGGTGTTCGATGCAACAAATCTATTCTTCAGATGGTTTCTAAATTCAGGTGGGATATAATCAAGGTCATATTTTGATTCTCATGGACTTGTTTTAATTGTCTTCTGCTTCAATTTGAACTTACGTATGAGCAATTGACGGTCTGTTCCACAGTCAGCTCCTGGCTTTGTTTTGGCTGAAAATATTGAACTTCTCCATTGCCTCTTTCCACAGATATAGTCGATCTGATTTCTGTGTATTCCATCTGGTGAGTTACATGTGTATTCAGCAATGCAATGCACTGGCATAGAGTCAGATCCGACTTATAGTGACCCCTCCTTGGGTTTCTGAGGTGGTATCACTATGGAAATAGATAGCCCAACCTTCATTCTGAGGAGTAGCTGGTGGGCTTGAACTGCCAGCCTTCTGGTTAGCAGTCAAATGCCTTAGGCACTATGCCACCAGAGCTCCTAGTCACCATTTATGTTGTTGAAAAAAGGTATTTGCCGTGAATAAGTTGTTGGTCTCGCAAAAGTCTATCATGCTTTCTCCGGTGTCATTTCTATCAACAAGACCATATTTTCCAACTACTGGTGATTCTACTTTATTTCCAACTTTTGCATTCCAATCACTATTAATAATCAACACATCTTGATTGCATGTTTGGTCAATTTCATACTGCAGAGGTTGGTAAAAATCTTCAATTTGCTCATCTTTAGCTTTAGTGGTTGGTGTGCAAATTTGAATAATAGTGGTATTAACTGGTCTTCCTTGTAGAAACATATATATATTATCCTATCACTGATGGCACTGAACTTCAGGATAGATCTTAAAACATTTTTTGTGACAATGAATGCCATGCCATTCCTCTTCAGTTTTTCATTCCCGACATAGCAGATCATATGGTCGTCTGATTCAAAATAGCCAAAACCAGTTCATTTCAGCTCACTAATGCCTAGGATATTGATCTTTATGCATTCCATTTCATTTTTGACAATTTCCTATTTTCCTACATTCATACTTTGTACATTCTATGTTCTAATTATTAATGAATATTTGCAGTTGTTTCTTCCCATTTTCACTCATGCCACATCAGCAACTGGAGTTCTGAAAGCTTTACTTGGTCCACATCATTGAGATTGCCTGTACTCTGGGGAGGCAGCTCTTCCCTAGTCATATTTTGAGTGCCTTCCAACCTGAGGGGCTCATCTTCTGGCACTATATCAGACAATGTTTCAGGGCTATTTATCAAGTTTTCCAGTAACATATCAGACAGTGTTTCACTGCTATTCATAAGGTTTTCACTGTCCAACACTTTGAGAAGCGGATGGCCTCTTCCTTCTTCCGAGTCTGTCTTAGTCTGGAAGCTCCACTGAAACCTGTCCACCATGGGTGACCCTGCTGGCATCTTGAAATACCAGTGGCATACACTCCAGCCTCAGAGCAACACTCAAGCCACCACAGTACAACAGACAGACAAGTGGTGGAATGATAGACTATGGCTGTCAAAATATAAACAGTCTGTTTATATATGGATTAAAT